GTTTTTTTTTTTTTTTTTTTTGCCACGCGTGTGTCGAGTTCCTGCGGAGATCCCATGCGTCGAATGCTCGACAGATGTGCGTGGAGTTTCTTGGTGAAGGGCCCGTACAAAAGAAAAAAGTGGAGATCGACCGCAGAGTTACCGGGGCACTTCATGGAGCCACTTTAGATGCAGAAATTGTTTATGGTCTATAGGTTAAACGAGCGTCGGAAAATCAAGGCGCCTGAGCACTTACACAGTACTGATATATTCTATCCCAGCTCGAGCAATATGTACGGCGACCGAGCTGAAGCTCTCCCACTCATTATCATACCAGATAAGCAATATGAAAGTGTTGATTATGTAGAGACCGCGAAAGTCATGTAGGGCTCTCGCATGATATTCGAAAAACTATACGCGTGCGTCTGGTTATTTCGCGTACGTATATTTTCGTGCGCCCCAGTAGTGTTTCTACCTTTGTACTACTTTTTTTTCTCGTGCGATGTTTCTACTATTTCTAGCCCTCTCCCCCATTTCCCTTTTATGTCGAGGTGCTTTTAAAGTTGAATGATGATGGCGCTCATGATGAGTTTGTCATGATAAGTGCACTGTATGGTCATGCACTGTATGCATTGCATGCCTCGATGCGCGTGCCTGCTTTAAAGGCTTGACGACATGTACGCATTGCAGCAATTGCACCGCGTCAGCGCGTCTACTCGCTTCCGCGGCCTCTCCCCATTGAGAGAGAGGGAGGGCGGCTCCACAAATATTTGTGTCCTCTCTCTCCATTGGGAGAGGAGGTGATACGAGTCTTTGTACGAGCGCTGGCTGACGCGCTGCAATGCCTGCGTGTGGGTTGGGCTTTAGGGTGCAGCCACTCTTTGAAACGGCTGATGCCGCCACGTCACCATTTTTCTCGTCTGCGTACCGCGTCTTTTAGCGGCTTCTTCGTGGAGCGGTAAGAGACGTCGTGTCCACAAACATGGCAGCCGCGCTGCAGTTGACGCACCCGATTTCCCGCTCTATACAGCGTAGAAACCGCGCATTGAGGCACCTATGGCGTTCCGCGCTTCGAATTTTCACACGAATGGCGTGATGCAAGGACAATGTTGGGTGTACATATCGCCCCTCTGACGTTTTCAACGCTCTGTTCAAACTGCTCAAGCAGCACTTTTCTTGCCGCACTTCTTTTTGTCTCTGTGTCGTCGTTTTGTTCTCGCGCTATAACTATCGTCAGCCATACCAACTAGCCCAAGCTGCCACACTTCTAACGCACTTTAAAATAGTGACGTGGTCGCTAGCGAAAGACGTCGTCGACATCGTTTTGCTACGATGTATAGCGTGCGCCGACGTTGTTCCGTCCGTTCAGTCGCTGCTTCTTTCTCGGCGCGCGCCACGAGAAAACGTCCTGCTCAGCGCGAAGCGTCATCCCCGAAGGCGCCGGGGGAGGCAGAGCCGTGGTTTCGGCGTGCGGTCGACGCGTCTCGCCTCTGTTTCCCCCACGACTGGGCAATCGACTCGGGCGTCACTTCTGCACGCCATTTGCGGAACGACTCTCTTAAGGCGCGCGCTCGCTCGCTATGGCATCGTTGTTTTCCGGAGACGCGCTTCTTTTTTTCGGCGCCGTTCTCTCTCTGATGGGGAGCATTCCTGTGTTCATCGCTTTGTGGGCGCCTCTGCGCCTGTGTGTGGGGCGTGCACGGCTGCGTCATGGGCGCGCCGTACGGCGTTTCTTCTTGGACGTGTACGGCTCTGTCAGTCTCGCTGGGGTTTTTCGCTCCTTGTGTGTTGATCGGCCTTTTCCTCCCTTTCGATTTATGGTTGTGTGATTCTCTTATCTATCGTGGTCGCTTCATTGTCGTTGTGTGGATGTACAGTCGGCTCCAGAATAATGTGGACCACGCGAGCGAGCGCCGAAATGACCTTCTGTGCCGTGTAGTGGTGAGGCGTCTCCTATTGCGGTCATTGCTCTGGCCAAAGCGTGGCCAGAACTTTGTTTTCGGCAGCAAACGACCCGCCACTAGACGACGCAGACGTCCATTTTGGCGTGCGCTCGTGGAGTCGGTATTATATTGCAGCCGACTGTGTCTCTCTGCCACTCTTTCTGTCTGTTGTCGCTATCTATCTATCTATCTATCTATCTATCTATCTATCTATCTATCTATCTATCTATCTATCTATCTATCTATCTATCTATCTATCTATCTATCTATCTATCTATCTATCTATCTATCTATCTATCTATCTATCTATCTATCTATCTATCTATCTATCTATCTATATCTGTGTGTTTGGGGGCCAGTATCTATCTCTACATTGTAATTTATTGTGTTATACGATTCCATTCAGTGTGCATGCCGTGGCTACGTTAAGATACGCTCTCTCGCGCGAAACGAGTCGTCGCGCTGACGTGCTTGTTTCTCACGTGTCTTATCTCGTCGAAGACGAGCAGCGACCTATAGCCAGCGACGCGCTCACTTTATTTAGCGCCCCTTGTTTCTCGTCTTTCTGCTCTCGTCCTTCGCGAAGGCACGCCAGGCTCGGTTCTTTCATCGGTATACGCGCATGCTTCACGACCACGTTTACACACACGCAGCAGCCGGCACTCGAGCAGCACCGAAGAAAGATGTCTTCTTTATTTAAGTCCAGCGAAGTGAACCAGAGCACGTTCGTAAACATTGACCCGACAATATCTATTGTTCGAGGAACCTCGTCTGGTGTGTGTGTGTGTGTGTGTGTGTGTGTGTGTGTGTGTGTGTGTGTGTGTGTGTGTGTGTGTGTGTGTGTGTGTGTGTGTGTGTGTGTGTGTGTGTGTGTGTGTGTGTGTGTGTGTGTGTGTGTGTGTGTGTGTGTGTGTGTTTTGCTTTGCCCGAGACGCGCGACGCTTGTTTACCGGTGCTTGCGTTTCTTCTCCGCAGTCCGTGTACAGATTGTATGCTTAGTCTCTTGCGAGGCACAGCGAGAAAGAGTGTTTTTGGAGGCCGTGGTTTGTCCCTCTGCCTTGTACAAACTCCCGCTGTTGACTCAGTTGTTCTTCTGCCCGCCCGGTGGAAGCTCTCACCCTTCCACAGGGGCACTTAAAAACGCAAGAAACTCTCTCCTTCGTTCGGGCTTGTCTTCATCCTCACCATGTAAAGGTCATTTTTTTCCCGCTCACCCTTGCCCTCCTTAACGCTTGTCTTCATTCTTGCCTTCTAGCCAACGCTCTTTTACGCGATGCTTTTTCATTGTTTTGTCGGGCAGTCGAGCCAATATAAGGGTGAAAAACAAAGTAATCCGCTGTACCCGAAACGTTTGTTTAACACTCGTCAGTTTATCGCGTGCGCACGTCTGCCCAGCGGAAGCTCTCGTTAACCTAACCCTTAATTAACACTGCGATGTCCGAGTATCGGTCTCGGTGCTGAAAGTCTGGAATAAAATCGGGAAAGAGATGGTGGTCTGTGTTTGGAAATCTTAAGCCTCGCTGCATTTAGCACCGTGTTCGTTTGTATAAAATTGTCGTCGCCCGCTGAGACAAATTCTTGCCTTTTAGCCGCATGCTTCTGGATCGGTCTAAGTTATGTTTAAGTCATCAGAAATTTTGTTAAGAATTCATTCACCTTCATTTCCTGTGTTGTTCAGGGTATTTCTGTAAAAAGAAAGAGATAGAGAGAGAAAAAAATGGTGCACCAGCTGGAGACATAATAAATGGTGTAGTCTTCGTATTAAAAACTCGCAGCTGATGTCTTGCTTCGGCGAGACATCAGCTGTGACTTGTTACACTGCTAATAATTACGCTTAACATGTGTGCACCGCGTTTCCTTCGAACACACAGAATGAACCCTATAGTGTAGGACGTTTGGCTTGAGAAGCCTTACTACGGTGTAGTATCATACCATGTACGTCACCGTCATCAATACTTTTTATAACAAGTACACTACATATAATGCGGTTCATGCACTAATTTCCGCACTTATAAACCGCTGGCTAACAGTAAACAACGTTCGTATCAGAGTGTTAATGCCAAGGTTAAGTTAGCGCTAAGTATTTTAATGATTGCAGGCATATTAAATCGGCCGCCGCTTGAGAATTTAAATTGACCTATCAAAGGTATACGTAACAAGCTTGCGTGCGAGGGCGCAGTTCGAAGCGCATGCCACCAGAGTTGCTTCAAATTAATCGTTCCACTCAATTAGTCTGTGTGTTTATGCCCGCGGTTAATATAAAAAATATACATAACAAAACCTGAATTGTAGGTAGTGGCAGCTGCTTCCGGTAAATAACGGCAAAGTTTGAGTCCACCGGCTTAATTTTTTTGTTACTAAACCTTCTTCTTCAAGGCCATGAATAACGGCTTATACGACGCTATATATAATAGACAGTGCTGTATGTAGTAATTAGTGAAACTATCATGTCATGTAAATTATTCTGAAGACGATTCTCACATATTATCTGTATTTTACAGGGGCACCTATTTTTTTCTGTTTCCCGTGCTATCTTTGTGGCGACAATTGACTGATTTGTTGTTGATTTATCAGCTCTCGTTGACGCGGAAGACGCGCACTTTTTTGGCTGCGAATAAATTATTTCGATCGTGAATTAGGGTGCAATCTCTTTATTGAATGGGTCTGTCTAACCGATAGCTGTGGTCAAACTGCGAAATAACGTTCTTCAACCTTTATTGTTGTTTCGTGATTGCTATTTCTTTCGCAATTGTGTGTGGTTTTAACACCGTGCATGAACCATGAGTCGCAGTAATAATTAAATAAATAAAAATCTAAAGGACGGTACACAGGAATAGAAGATGTAGATTAATTTTTTTTTCTGTTCGTACAAGCGTTTCAATGCCTGTTTATCGGTGCTTGTCGTGTACAGTGCTTCTTTGTCAGGGCCCCTTGTTTTTCCTGCGCTGTTAAATGCGAACGTGCACCAACTAGCTCGTATCTTGATACACCTGATAGCTTTTTCGATGCACGAGTCCGTACAGAGATGAGCATGTTACACTTTGGCTCACGCTCCCTGTTCCCCTTGTCTCGTTACAGATGCATCATCCGATACAGATGAAACCGGCTGACAGCGAAAACAGGAATGGTGAGTGTCCTTTTTTTTTTTTAGTGTTCTTTCCTTTTTTGTCACCAAAAGCGGCGTGCACTGCGGTGTTTAATAACCGTCCCATCAGGCAACGCGCGTCGCCGTGCCTCCTCGATGGATCAAAATGCGTATCGGCTATCAAATATCCAAACCGTGGACGCTTCGAACAGATGCTGAGTGGAATATTCGTTTCGGCGGTATTGCCAAATTACCCCTCCTCTTCGAAAGTGATTTCATAATAAGGTACGTGACGTTGTATATTTTCGTGAATACAACGTGACGTACGGACCGGTGGTTGTAATGACAAGATTAATAGATATCGATAGATGTATGGATTGGTATTCATACATGAAACAAAAATGGGCACCAGCGCATGCATACTGATAGATAGATAGATAGATAGATAGATAGATAGATAGATAGATAGATAGATAGATAGATAGATAGATAGATAGATAGATAGATAGATAGATAGATAGATAGATAGATAGATAGATAGATAGATAGATAGATAGATAGATAGTATTTTGTTTACAATACCTGCAGCGCCATTGTAGGGTATTTCTACAAGGGAGGTACCTACATTGTAAAATACGAACTGTAATAAAGTGAAGATTAGTGGCACTTCATGAACGGTGCCTTGACAGAAAAAAATAATAATAATAAAGCAGGTTCAGATTGCAAGACGGCGGGGAAATGTAAATAACTTTCAAACACGTGCATTGTATACGGTTGTCTCTAACCCAAACGCTCTCTTCGATCGATGACCAGGCGATAAGTTTACGGGTTGCACTATAAATATCACACTTCGTGCAACACGAAACCAAGTTTAAGAACACAGGTACTTGAACCAACTGTAGCCTCTGGCGTCTCAAAAGTGATACCAATCTTCGGCCGATTTTGGCTTGGCTTTGCTTCTACTCGCATCTAGAGTCACTATATATACAGTGCACTCTGCGCACAGATAAGGTCATTGAGTCAACATTGCTTCGTAACGGGGTGGTATGAGACGGCGTGCGTAATTTTGCCCCTCGAAGAAAAAAATGAAGTAAAGCCAGAGCAACGCAACTCCCGCAGCTGCAGGTATTCATATTCGCTGCTGCTAAGAAAAAAAAGAAACAGAGCCAGGAATAACTCGCCCAGTATGGCCACTGGCGCGCCGGCAGCACGACACTCTGTTTGCACAAGGACCGGATCGGCGGGATCGATTCTGTTTATGAGCGATCGTGCTGCTCAGCGTCATTATAAACCACGTGCCGGTGTCGTTAATCATATCCCTGTTGGCAAACTACCGTTTGTTTGTTTGTTTGCATAAGCGGTGAGAGGTGCCCTGTCTGTTGTTTAGAGGTTTTCTTGTTCCTGTAGCACTTTGTTTGCGCTTGGAAATGTCGGGACGCTTCCGAGTGCAGTTGTCGTGCCGCTGTGGCCTTATGCTTTGTTGGTTTAAAAAAAAAAGTAGTTATACGCGCGTAAAAACAGGGGCTATAGACTTGAGTGCGCTCGCCGGATATAGTAGGTGCGTAGTTGCGGTCGTACAGTGGCTTGGTTAATAGTGATTAACTGCACTCGTGGAACTGTAATGCCATAAATTTGCCTATCATGACTTCACTAATAGCAGAGAAAACGAAGGCTGATGTTTAAATTTTTTTTTAATTTCGCGTCGTAACCTTCGCATGTAACGTCAGAAATCTGAAACTGTATTTTTTTTATTTTCTTCACATCGGCTCGGTACAATTTTCGTGGAACTTGATATGCTAGCTCTATGGCACTCGCGGACGACAATGTACCCAATTTTTTTATCAGTTATAAGCGGTGTAGGAGCTGCAGTAAGCTCTTTTAAAGAAAAAAATCTATGATGTCGCGGTGTTTCTTACGGAAATATCGACTTGGCGTCTCCACCTGCATTTTCTTTCTCCGCGTTTTCTTGTTTACCGTGTCGTGTCGTGGTAAGAAGGGTGTTTTCGCGATTGTGAGATTGTGCTTTACTAACATTCGGAAAATCTGTCTTTCTCTCTAGTTTCCCCTCAATTCGCTACACACGCACTGACGTTTGAATTCATTTGGTGGTGCATCGTTATGGCTTTCTGTGGCGTTGTCCGGCATGGCGCCTATAGATATTTCGATCTCGGCACACCAAAGCGGAGGATTACACAAACTTTGGCGCATAGAAAGCCAGTGACAGGCATCGAAGTACTCCGCGCAATAATAGCGCAATCAAGGCCGTGCGCTTGAATTCAGGTGCGCGTTTAAGAACCTCAGGTGGTCGAAGTATCCACTATACGGTGTGTCTCATAATCATATCGCGGTTTGGTGCCGTAACAGGCTGACAGTTCCTATGATTGTTTAGGGAAAAGATATGGGAAATTGGTAACTAACTAGGCTCTGTACAGGCTGGAACGATACTAATATCAGTGCATTGGACATGTGGAACAATCAGGAAGGCCAACGAATTGAGAGAACGTATACGTTGTTCTAGCTGCTTGCGCTCACTTCTTCGCTCGACAACTGGTCGCTATACCTGTGCTAATTTCTCTGGAAAACGTGTCCCCGGCTTCACGCCAGGTGCGCGCTATCACTACTGACGGTGATAACGCTAATACCGACAATGCAAGGAACAACGCAGCACTATGTACAAATATATACAAACTGTGGCGCGTGTGCAAGCGTCGTCAGACCACGTGCCTCCTCGGTTTGGCCCGCGGCGCGCCTGCCCGAGTGCTCTGTCATCGCATTGTTCGTACGCGAGCTCGCTGTATAGGACGAACAAAGGACTCGCTCGGTGGTCAGGTGCTCGGATGCTGTAAGAAACATTCGGTGACGCTCCGCTCGTTGCTAAGGGTTGCCTCGCAGCGGGTCGTCCGTTCGAGGCGGCGTTGCTTTTAGGACAACGGCGCCGCTACTGACTTTATGTATATACCTTTTTTTTTTTGATTCCGATGTTCGGTGCAACGTACGGCATCGCCTAAGACTGCTCTCGGGTAGTCGCATGCAGTATACGGCTGGCCAAAAGTTTTTTGGAAAGCGTTAGTAGGGTACGTTAGGTTTTAAAGTAGTTCCGTGCAGCGGATAAGATGCTGGGCTGCTGACCCAATGGTCGCGGGTTCGATCCCGGCCGTGGCGGTCGCATTTTGATAGTGGCTGAATGACAAAACCCGTGTGCTGTGCTATGTCGGTGCAAGGTAAAGAACTGCAAATGGTCAAAATTCCCAGAACCCTGCACTACGGCGTCTCTCGTAATCATGTCGTGGTTATGGGACGTAGAACTCGAGACATTATTATGTGAAAGGTTGTTCCGTCGTCGTCAATGTGAGGGATAATGCCAAAATTGCCTTTCTAAGGTAACGGTAGCCTTAGGTCGGCAAGAAATGTAGAAGTCACTCACTCATGGAATATGTTTCGCCCTTCGGGCTCGCTCACAGCTGAGCGAAATTTTATGAAGTGGGTCTCATGACTGTGTGTAAGTGCGAGTGGGTCGGAATGATTTATTGATATGTGGGGTTTTACGTCTCAAAACCACTACATGGTTATGAGAGACGCCGTAGTGAAGGGCTCCGAAAATTTCGACCTCCTGGGGTTCTTTAACGTGCACCCAAATCAGAGCACACGGGTCTACAGCATTTCCGCCTCCACCGGAAATGCAGCCGCCGTTGCTGGGATTCGATCCCTTGACCTGCGGGTCAGCAGCCGAGTACCATAGCCACTATAGACCACCGCGGCAGGGCATGGATCGGAATGGGTCGGCTCGTGGTTGAGTTTGCCGACCTATGACAGCAGTTATGCATAGTTGGCCAGCGCAAAAGAAGTCGTGGCGGTGAATTCTCGCTTCTCGTGGCCAGCAGCAATACGCCGCTGCTGCACGCAACTACAAGGTGCGTCGCCGCCGCTTGAACGCAGGGTTGCGCAGGTGCGTTGTCCGGGGAGGAGGCTCTGCGGGGTGCTGTCTTCTCCGTTCGGCCTCTGCGTCGTCCATTGTTTGTCGACTCCCGGATGACAGCAGCTGCGGCGGCTTCGAGAATCGGCTGCGGCCGACAATCGCTTCAACCGTCGGCTGCTTACGCGGCGACGCGTTGCTATCGAGGGAACACCATGGCTATAAACAGAACGTGGCGTTCCTTAGTTATTATCTATCTATCTATCTATCTATCTATCTATCTATCTATCTATCTATCTATCTATCTATCTATCTATCTATCTATCTATCTATCTATCTATCTATCTATCTATCTATTTTACCTTAGATACATTTATTTGTCTTGTATATAGGCTCGCTTTGTGTGTGTGTGTGTGTGTGTGTGTGTGTGTGTGTGTGTGTGTGTGTGTGTGTGTGTGTGTGTGTGTGTGTTGCGTAAATATAATCGATTCAGGCAGCAAAAAAAAAAGGCACGTTTGGTGTTCTCTGCGTAAAGCAAGAAAAAAAAAATGTTACGTCTCAGTATCGGGCCCTATCACAACTTCGATATGTGTGCCTCTGTTACGCCTTGATCATTTTAGGCTGGACTTCGGTTTCCTGGCTTTATCTCAATTGATGGCTTCATTAATTCGCGCGTTACGAGCCTTCCGTCACTACCTCTTAGTTTACCGCGCACGGAATAGCGAACACTTTGTATAACTTCCAACTTACAGTCGGCTTATCGGAAAATATGCCTTGGCGTGGACCTCTATTTCGCACATAGTGGGCGGCCACCTTGTTTGTTCGCAGCATATTTGCCCGGATAACGGATCCGTGAGTACCATGGACAATTACTCTCTTACTTCTACGCCGGATGCTTTTTCTGCTACTATCAACAGAGATGGAAGACTGCTACAGAGATGGAAGCTCGGTTCCTTCCGCGTCAAGCAATTCCCCATCGGTGCTAATGGTCTCTTACGGTCGATCGCTCCCGGGCGAGCTTCGCACGCCGCTGAGCCACGCATTGCCGAGGGCATTGTTTGGTCTTCGTGATCGCATCGTGGTTCGCTGATTCATTTGGAATCTCATCCGACTGGCTGCCTCCTTCCCA